CTTTGCTGTAGAGTCAATTCTGACTCATAGTGACCCTATAGGACAGAGTGGAACTTCTCCATAGGTTTCCAAGGAGCGGCTGGTGGATTTGAACTGCCAACCTTTTGGTTAGCAACTGTAGCTCTTAACCACTGTGCCACCAGGGCTCCATTTATGATATAAGGAACACCAAAATATTGGCAAGAAAAAGGACTAACAATCCAATAAAGACAGGAAAATAGATGAACAAATAATTCACAACAGGGTCTACAGACTGCTCTCATATATACAAAAGGATGTGCAGCCTCACATAATAAGATAAGTGCCATTAAAACTATACAGAATACAAATATACTGTATAGCTACAGTAATCAAAACAGCCTGGTATTGGTATAAAAAAAGACACATAGACCAATGGAATAGAATTAAGAGTCCAGAAATAAACCCATACATCTATGGTCAACTGATTTTTGACAAGGGTGCTGAGTCCATCCGATGAGGGAAGAAGGGTCTTTTCAATAAATGGTGTTGGGAAAATTGGATTTTCACATGCAGAAAAATGAAACGGGATCATGCCTCACACCATACACAAGAACAAATCCAAAATAGATTAAAGACCTAAATGTGAAAACTAAAACCATGAAATTATTAGAAGAATAAGCAAGAGCAACGCTGTCAGGCCTACCTTTTGACAGTGGATTATCTAACAACAAAAGCACAAACAGCAAAAGACAAAATAAATAAATGGGACCTCATAAAAATTAAAAACTTTTGTTAATCAAAAGACTTAACCAAAAAAGTGAAAATACAGGCTACTCACTGGGAGAATATCTTTGGAAACCACATACCTGATAAGAATCTAATAACCAAAATATATATAAAACTTTGACAACAAGAAGCCAAATAACCCAATCATAAAATGGAGAAAGGACTTGAATCGACATTTCACCAAAGAGGACACTCAGATGTCCACCAAACACATGAAAAGATGCTCAATGTCATTAGCCATCAGAGAGATGCAAATCAAAAACCACAATGAGATACCATTTCACTCCCACTAGGATGGCTAAGATAAAAACAAATACATCCGTGTAAGCAGAAAATTCTGTTGGTCTTACATTTGATACAGATCTTAAATGTGACCTTCTCATTATTTTGCTCTTAGCACTGTGGTCTCTAAGCCACCACAGTGTCTCACCTGAACTACTGAAAAAGTCCACTGTTTGGTCTCCCTCCTTCCAACTTCACCCCTATAACCAGGGTGATCCTTGTAAAATATCAGTTGGATCACATCACTTTCTGCTCCTCCAGTGCCTTATGTTGTCACTGAGTGAGTTCCAGCTCATGGCCACCCCATGTGTGCAGAGTAGAACTGCTCCATAGGATTTTCAAGGCTGTGACCTTTTGGAAGGAGATTGCCAGGGCTGTCTTCCGAGGCGCCTCTGGGTGGTTCAAACCATCAACCTTAGGGACTCTGCCCCAGGGCCTTATACCTCAGTGTAAATGCAAAGACCTTACCATGGCCTGCGTGGCAGGACATAAACTGACATACACTTCACAACCCCTACCTCTCTTGACCTGTCTCCCAACACTCACCTCACCCCACCCTTCCCCCTACTTTCACTGTCATAGCCAAGAGTAACATAAGGAGGCATAGCAATTAAATGTATCCTGAGTGGGATCCTGTAACAGAGAAAGATTAAAACTAAGGAAACCTGAATAAATTATGAGCTTTAGTTAATAATAATATATCAATATTGGTTCATTGATTGTAACAAATGTACCAGAGTAATGCAATAGGTTAATAGGGGAAAATGGGTGCAAAGTACAGGGGAACTCTGTATTTTCTCAAGTTTTCTGTAAATGTAAAATTCTTTTTAAAAAAATAGTCCATTTTAAAAAAAACAAAAAACTGCTGAACTGTTTTCCAAAGTA